GCGCGTGGTTCTGGTTCTACTGGTCCTGCAGCCGCACCACACGGAACAAGCTCTTCTCAGGAAGAGGCAGCTCCGGGTGCTAAAGCTTCTCGTCCTCAACGTCCTCAAGAACCCGCACAAGCTCCTGGTGGCAAAGAAGGCGGCAAAGGAGGCAAGTCCTCTAAAGGCAAGGACAAGGACGCCAACAAGGGCAAGTCCAAGGGCAAGTCCAAGGGCAAGAACAAGGGGAAAAACTGACTAGGTTCCGATTCTTCGGACGTGGATATGGACAATGGTTCTGACGAAGTTCCTGTGGAACAAGATGAAGACCTTGCTCCAGATCCACAGATATCGCTACCTAGGAATGCTGCTGATCCCCGCGGTTACGACCCTGTTCGCCATCAGCCGATAGTGCCGATTCATGCCAACGACATCTACCGTTGGCATGGTCAAAATCATTGGCGTGATAGAACCTGGGATCGTGACTTAGAGTTCGTCGACTGAACTGGCTGAGTGTTTCACGGAATGCTTCTTTCATAAGAAGGTATCCAATCTGAACATTCGTCATTTCATAGGGAGATGCTTTTCTCAGGAAAAGGTACTTCCTAAAGAACTCTTCTTCAAAAGAAGATACTTATCTCAGGATAAGATACTTCCAATGCCCTTATACGTTTGCCATGTCGCAAGATGCCATGCTGGCATCAAGTAGAGCTAAGCTCTACAACCTTTTATGTTACAGTATGCTTTCCACCTGGAGAGGGAACTGAAACACAAGTGGGCAACTTTCAAGCACAAGTTTCCAGTTGAAGATCCGTTTGCGTTTGTGCGTGTTCTGCTCTTTTTCAGTGAAGCTGTCTTCAGGTGAGAGAATGTATAGTTTTCTCTTCAAGTCGCAGATGTAGCTCAATACTCCGCTAATTCGACCAAGAGCAATAACAGGCTAGTTGAATGCCGACTCCACGGCCATGCAGCTCTACGTGTTTTAAATTTGTGCCTGGTTGAAACACTGAATGTTACACATCCAGGTGCCTGTCTGTTTCACGTATCACTTGCATGTATCCATGCCTGTTGCTCAAGGTTCTAGTGCAGTGGACTACAGCTGTGCGCCTGTAGTAAAAGAGACACCTGAGTGCCTGTGTTCCTGTACGCCTAGCGAGGGGATACACGTCCAGGTTACATCTCAAGGGGGGGGGGAAAGAATATGAGGGGGGGTGGGAGGTTCATACTCCAGGAGTATTGAGGGGGGGTTCATACTTCAGGAGTATTGAGGGGGGGGGTCTATTCCAAGACTATTGAGGGGGGGGGGACTCGTACTCTTGGGGAGGGGGGGGGTCTCTTTGGGAATGGTTGTTGTAGTATTTTGCCGGGTGAGGAAGAAGGAGCAGGAGAAGGAGTAGTAGTAGTAGTAGCAGTAGTAGCAGTAGTAGTAGTAGTAGTAGTAGTAGTAGTCAATACTCCTGGAGTAAGGACCCCCCCCCCCTCAATAGTCCGAGAGAACGAACCCCCCCCCACCCCGCTAACGGCGCTATCTGTATCTTTTGCGGGGTTCGCGGGGTCTGAGGGGTTTTGTGTGATGTTTTCTCTACCTTCGAGTTTGTGGGGTCTGTGTGTGCTGCGGCGGCGTTCGCGGGACTGAAGGGTTTTACAAGATCTTTATATTTAATGCAAATCTGAAACCTCAGCACCCTCACAGGAATCCGAAGCCCGCTGAAACCGCAACATGATCTGGATGGGGAACCAGAGTGCACAGCCTGTGCCGGGGTGAAGCTTCTAGGACCAGGAAGGTAGATCGCAAGGCCTCTGAGCGGGAGCCGTCAGCGACAGAAAAGCAGTAGTGACCCAACCTAGTCCGTTTATCGAGGCTATGCCATGTTCTGCAGATGCCTGTCTTTCCGAGCTCCAACTTTAAACTCCAACAGCCCCAAGCCGGAATATCCGGAATCCCTGAAGACCTTTCTTGAACAGCGTGGAGCACGGGCAACTCCTCGACTTGACCCTCCAAATCCTAAACCAACTCCGAGAAGAGGCTGAGATCACACTTGAGGGGATATTCTCTCCTTCAGCCCATCCTGGAATCCTCTTTGTTTCGCATCTAGAAACTGCAGGCCCTTCACCACTTGCTTTTTCGATCGCTCAGTCGTCCGTCGTTGGAGGCTCCTGACTTGCTGGAGCTGGATCCGCGGCAACCTCCGTGGTTTCTTGGACTGCGCAGGGTCTTTATAGGGTGTCGGGAGTTCGGCGGCTTCTGTCGCAGCCATCTCTCGGTCTCCTCAGCATGGCTCCGTTGCTAGGAATGCAGATGAAATGACCGTGTCATTGAAGAGAATCGCAGTTGTGTATATGCTTTGCCTCTGCAGTAGACCACACTGTAAGCCCTAACCCCAAGCCCTCAATCCTCAAAGGCAACAAGGATGACACAAGTAGTGGGAATCACTGTAACGGTGGCAGCTTCCACTTAAGGTACCATTTTGACTAAACTGGTATTCCTGAAAGCTTGCACGATAAATCCTAAACCTTCAACGGCATCAATCTGCGACCTCTGCATCCCTAAACCCCATGGAAACTTTACAACTAAAGCCCTCAGCCTGAGAATCCACCTGCTTCGGGCTTAGGTCTAGCACCTCGGGGCCGACAACAGCCCTGCCTGCGAAGCTTCGCTCCGCGGGTGATCCTCCAGATGGGATCCTCATTACTGAATTGTGGGTGTTTGGGGCTTAGGGGTTTTAGAGCTTTAGGGTTTGGGGGTCGGATTTTAGGGTTTAGCTTTTTCCGGGGTTTGGGCTTTGGGTCTGAAGGGCTTTACTGTTTGTCGGGTATATGGGCCTATGGTTACTTTCTTGTGATTGTAAGTTCTGGGGTGCAGGGAATTCGAGGTTCTGGTGTTGCTGTTGATGCATGGCTTAGAATATGGCAGCTCGGGTTCACTATACCGGCTGTGGGCTGGAGGCAAAGGCTCTGCTGTAACTCAAACGTCAACGGGAAGGTGTAGATTCACGTTCCCCGCAGCACCAATTAGTGTTTAATGTTAGGCGACTATTCTACAACATGGCTCTAGCCAAGAAAGATACGACCGAGAGTGGCCCGTGCTGTATGAACCAGACAACTTCGTGCTCCCTTCCATCAGTTCTCGTGCAACCATTTAGACGGCCTTGAGGCGCGAATGTTCAGCAGTTGCGATCCCGCGTGGAAGTTCATAGTCGTGTCGGTAGGTGATAGGATCGGAGCAAACGTTCGCCATCACACCTGAACCCTTGACTCCAATTTAGTCCAACAGATACCAAGCACTTCTAGAAGCCCCATACAATACTTTCCCTGGAACTACGCAACGGTCGCAGGAACTGAAGACTAACACAACGCCGGAGCTGTTTTGAACTTGGGCCCCTGCCGCGGTCGGCACTGCGTGCTGCCGGGGTGGAGACCGCCGACACAGAGAGCCTTCAAGGACTGGGGCCGCTTGGGGTTTGGCTCTGACAGGATGTTATGGGTTTCGTTTTGCACGGGACTCCCGGCTCCAGCGAATGCATTTGGGGCTTGGAGATGGAAACGTTGAAAAGCTGTGACGAGCGTACTCTCTCCTGCCTTCGAAAGCACGAGCTTTCTCTTGGGGGTTGAGCTTGGGTTCCAGAAGCATAGAATAGAAAGCCCGAAAGGCTCTCACACAGGCTAGGAACCCAACACATCGCACCACATGCATCCAACAGCCTCGAAACCTGCAGGTGACCGGGGGTTTTGCAGATGCGAGCCTGCAACATTCTAATAAAGCCTAATCGCTCAAGGCTTCGTGGCGTCAGCGCACTCCGTGTGGGTATGGCCAGACCGTCTTTGGCCTGGCGTTCGGATGTCTTTCGGGAGCCTTCTTTTGCGGAATGACGGGGATAACTCTGGCTGGATGCGATTATACTCGGCATTCAACACAGCGTTTCACAGGTGCTCCACTAGTTTCCGAACGATTTGTAAGGATGCTGCGGAAGCTTCATGCAACCTCTTCGGACATGCTCGGGCAGGGCCTAGATTTGGTGCTTGGATCAAGGAATCAGAAGTAGGCATTCCAAGCTTTGCGACGAAACCTGGAACCCCGACAGCTTGAATAGCTTGAACTCTTAGCCTCCATAGTATTGCGTGTTGTGCGCAAGCCTCAGCACGACACATGAAGCCTGCATTACAGTCAGTACGAACCGAGCCGAGCCTGCCCGAAACGTGCCGACATGGCAGAAACCCACCAATTGGTCCTGGCACGAAGCGATTCTCGGTGGTTTCCAGTGTTCAGAGTTTCGGAAAGCAGCAATAATACTGCCTACTCCGACGCCACAAGCCTTCAACCAGCGCATGGAACCTTTAACTGGACTCAGACATTGATGTCTCCGAGCGTTGATGTCTGAGGCTCCTGGCAGACTACGACTTCCAATGCTGTTAACAGTACTGGAAATTTATCTTTCGATCCGTCCGCCAACGACGGGGCGAGACACACGAAGAGGCAACGACAAAATCAAAGGAATTGACTTTGCAATTGTGTACGCAAAACTTCCAAACTTGAAAACACTATGGAGATGATCACAGCGATCCCCACCATGGATAACACTACACCGCAAGCGTTGGAGAGGTCTAGGAAGGATGGTGCAAGGTAGGCACTGAGAATTCAAGTTTCATGCTTTCGGAGTTCAAGGGGACAGCATAGATAGAGGATAATGAAAGCCTGTAGAACTTGTTAACATTTGGGTGTTGTAAAGGCCAACGGAGTCAAGGATCCGGGTGATCACTTTTTCCAAAGGTCCCGACAGCCCTATCAAGAGCATCATTCTTTCCTGCAAGAAGTACGGAATGAAAATCCAACTATCAGAATAAAACTCCCAAACCCTGATCCCCGCTGAACGTCCGACGATCCGGGAAAAGCCCAACATCCTATCTTGCTGCAAGTTTGAGCTTTCATCAGAGCATTGGGCTTGAAGCTAAAGACGTGCTACTAATCAATTTTCTCCTAAACTCTCTGCCATAAACACGCTCATAGCTTGGAGCCCTTCAGCTCAGCAATTGAGCCCTGAAGCCGGAAATCGCTGCATGGGGCACGACATTTTCGTCCCACGACGCACTTTTCCCTGAGTGGCGAACCCTACTATGGGACGCTTCAGAGCTTGCAGCCTAAAGGCCCCCAAGCGGGCAAGCGCAAACTCTTGGCATCCGAGCAGCTCGTAGAGTGCTGCCGTGTGGAGCCGCTTTGTCTCCAGGACAGCGATATCTGGTGCCAGTTGCTCCTCGGCCGGTGTTCGGAGTTTAAGGTTCAAGGTTTTAGGGCTTAGCGTCTTGGGGCGTAGACTCGGCATGCGCATGGTGTAAGCTTAGGCGGCCGGTAAGAGGATTATTATAATTTCAAGAAGCAACACCCCACAGATCCTTCGAGCCTCGGCAAACCTGAAGTTCAGCCAGACTACGACTCGTGGACAGAAATGTAGGCTCGGCTAGGGTTTGGATTTGAGGGACCCCAAACGAGAAATCTACACTTGTGATCAAACTCTATAGACAACAAATCCAGACCCTGGAACACAAGAAGCTAAGCCGTAGAACAGCTCTTCGGCCAAATGGTGCCAGAGGCTCCAGACCTCTGAGATCTCGAGAGGCGGAAAGCATCTCCCGCTTCTCCAGCAAACTTTGAAGCTCCTGCCCAAGCGCCTTCGTGCTCTTTTCGGGTGGAGGCTTCAGGGAGAAATAGCAGATACCCGGTAATTTCTATTATGTTCCTATATGGTTAATAGTTTGGGTGTAGGGTCACTATGGCAGGAGAGGGTCGTTTACACTTCCTATGGTCTCGCTGCTACTTCTGCAGACATTGCTCTGGCCATTGCCTGTGCCCTCGCGGTCGCTGTTCTGGCTATGAATGAGCTGTCACTCTGTGTTCTTTATCGACAACGGCTTCTGCTTGCTTGTTGCGGCGATGAAGCTAAATAGCACATACATGGACATTTCAGAAACAACAGGACCCTCCTCTGGACGCCTTCACTAAGGATACTTCCCGCCGAGCACTCAACCTGTGGACTCGGAGCTCCAAGACTTCAGAGTCAGCGAAACCGTGTAAGCACATACGCAACATGCTTGGAGGTAGTACTGCAGCGAACTTGTCTGACTTCGAAGCTCCACTCAGAGCGCCTCACTGCAGCCTTAAGCAAAGAAGCCATGAAACCTTCAAAAGCACAAGGCCCAGGAGACGGCCCCTAGACCAAAGGGCGGAAAACTTGGGATCGCGAGTTTTATCCATGAGCGTATTCGGGAACATTCAGGGAGAACCTCATTATTTATCATAGATCATTCAAGCTCAGATATGGAAGCCCTCTCAAACCGTTATTAAGCGCACGCAGGCCATGCAGATTTCCTAGAAAACGACTTACAACAAATCGAACTGCCTAGCTGTCATCAAATGATTTGGTCGAGTCGCATCAAGCTGCTGCATGTGCTGGGCGACCTTCTGAGCCTCCCCGAACTTGCTCCTTACGTCCAGGGTGTCTATCGCGGAATCCAGAAAGAGAGCCGTGAGAGCTTGGGCTTCGTGGCATTCTGGATTTATGTCATCGAGAGGCTGCCTCTCGGGGTCGGCTTTACAGTTTAATGGTATGGATTATAGAAGCGTCTTTCTCGCAGCTTCGGCCCGGCTACAAAAGGCCGAGGAAGCACGTCTTTAAACGCCCGGGGAAGCAGGCAGGGTTGCTTAAAGAGCACAGGTGCTGCACTGAAATGCTTGCACCGAAACCCAACACATTCTCAATCCCAATCCCCTTGAAGCTGACCCCCAAACCAGTATCGATGGTCCAAGTCTCTCTCGGATAAGCTGGTCTTCTTTGTCCCGAAGCTCACGAATGAGAGAACACCTTTCTGCGAGTCTTGGGCTTTACATCTCTCCGGACAGCAGGCACTCGGACAGTCGGAGAGCCCTTGTGTTCTATGCTTGCGAATGCATGGAACATGCACAGCAAGAGCTGCACTAGATGTAACTCTTCCTATTCGTCGTCTGAGTAGTGGGCCAGACTAAGTCTTGCAGCGGAAGCGGGAAAACGACACGTTGAACATTCAGAATGATGCTGCTGAAGTGTAGAGTCTAGAGGTTTTCAAATCCCGGCAATGTGAATGGAAAAGAACAGCAAAGCAATCGACACCCTCAGAGATTCAATGTGCTGTTCCGGCAGTTACGAAGGTGCAATGACAGGCCAGGCCCAAAACCCTATAGCTAAAATTCCTAACCCACGCGGGAAACCTTGCACAAAAACCAACTTCGATTATCGCTCGCAAGAAGAGGAACTTGAGAAGAGGAGCTCAGTTTGGATTGAGATCTGGCTTGCAGGCATGACCCTCAAGCGTGAGCCCTTAGCTTGAGTTCGTGCATCGAAGGAACCTCGAAGCCCACCGTGAACCCATCGACGAAATGGCTGACCCTCGCTGCAACAGATTCCTCGAAGAGACTAACCCCACCGATTCCACTCGAAGTGACGGCAGGCATGTTAAGATTTACACCAGTATGCGCATGTTGATGCCACATTGCGAATTTCCGAACCCTATAGATAGGCTTCGATGAGAAGCATGGGTCGAGTCAGCAGTGGTGCAGTCTCATTCCGACACCGCTATGTGCGACCCAAAGTAACACCCTATAGACCCTCAATCCAGCACCTAAAAGGAACCAGTAGCTTGCATACCAGCGTACCCTAAACCTTAAACCCTAAACTAAACCCAGCCCCAGATACCGAGAGCCGCCGGGACACGTCGCTGCATCGGCGTGGACTGTGGGCTGGAAGCCGCCTGAGACCTTGATCGGAGTTGCTCGGGTTTTTGGGGTTTCGGGGAATTTCGGGGTTTGGGGCTTTGATCAGGGTTCAGACGGAAGTTTCAGGTTTAGTCTTCTCTACTCTCCAGGGAAGCAGGAACCAAGCTGACGACCTGAGGCCTCAAATCAATGTCCAATCCCCAACCCACTCAAATCTTCAACTATCAACAAACCCTGCAAGGTTGAAGGCCATGTACGTTTCTTTAGGTGTTCACGCTAAGAGTTTGAGGCACGTGGTTCAATTTCTGTCCTTGGACCAGGGTCCAACCACACCTATCACAAGAAAACGTGAATGTAAAGCCTAAAACTTGAATAAATAAACAAAACACCTACATAATCACGGACCCTCGATCCCAAACTTTTAGTAAGCTACCTTAAAACAGACCACGGTGCTGGGACTAGGTTCAGCGGAACACCCAACTCCATGAGCACGGAAGCAATGTCATCGTGATGCTCTCCCAGATCCTGAGGTCTGGCTTCCAGGGCTTTCAGTTTTCCCATCTGCCTCCTCTGAGTTTTACGGGGCCGAAAAGTGTTGACAGCTTGCTTTTCATGCTCAGGCCTGCAGCGTGCTGGACTTGGAGCATCTTAGCATCTTTTCGTGGACTTAGGCTTTTTGTTGGGCTGTCAGCGTTCAACTTCCCTCAAGGCAGGTAGGATTTGGGAATTCTGAGGCTTGAGTAGGTGGGTTTGCTAAGCATCCCAATAATATTGCACGAAGCGGAAGAAGGCACACACACACACAACTTCAGACCCGAATGCCCCTATATGCCTTGACATATTGCGAGCAAAAGCCAGACTAAAGGCACACACCTGTGACTGTCTGAAGGTGGTAGGATGCAAGCGGTAAGTGTTGCGGCTTCTGAGAATATCCGGGGCACGTCTCCTGGAATGTGTGACTCTACATCCAACCCTAGAGGTCGTAGAATTTAACCAATCTTCAACCTCGACATTGTTATTGCTGGTGCGTTGCTGCTGTTGTTGCTGTTGTTGCTGTTGCTGCTGCTACTGTTACAACTTATGAGTCACCTTGATATCGGCAGAGAGCTTCAACTGCGAATCGGCAGACTCGTTCTTGTGCGACTTGGGGAGTCGGTATGACTCCATGGTTTGATGTGGTGTTGTGTCGCAATGTGAAGCTCTTTCTGTGCCTACCTTGTTCTGTGCACCGGGATGGCTTGGCCGATCCTGGTGATGTTGCATCGTCGAGATATGCGATTCAGCGGTTCAAACTTCGCCACATTGACAAAAAGTCCTGTCCATGTCGCAACTCGATCGAGATTAACTCGCAGCATATCATAGTGTGGCCCTCGGGACTCGGGTTATTGAATGCCGCAACAGCTAGGCAGCTAGGCTTAAAGGGTTTCAAAAATATTATCCAATTTGGATCTTACGCCCCAGCCACGCGGTCTTCAAAGCACGCCCCGAATTACAAAGCCCAACAACACAGTGGGTTCAAGTTACATCGGAGACTCTACGAACCGCGGTATCAAAACTATCCGCTCTCTACTAAGCTTTCAACCCAGCACGCTCGAGAGCCGACCCAACAACTCGAACAAAGCTCTTGCCCTAAATATGACCGTCGCAACCACCGTAGCCGATCAAGTCGGCCCAGGCGCCAGCGGCAGTGGCCCGGAGGTCTCCGGAAGGACATCCTCGCGGCTGCCCTTTGAGGCTTCCGCACTGTGGGTTGAAACTCCCAGGACCTTCCACGGACCATTCCTGGCCCCACTGTTCCCTACAACAACACAACACATTACATCCTATGCCTTTAATCCTGTACCCCCCCCAATCCTGAGCCTGAGCCGTCTTGGGTTTGAAGAAGCGGGTTATAGTTATACAGGGATCACAAAGGGATACGAATACCCCGTATTATCCTAAATCCCACAGAGGAGTTTCCGAAATTGAAAAACCCCAATATATAGAGTCCTGCGCCCCTAAGTAACGGGACCCCTGTTCTACGGATCAGCACAAAGGATGCCCAATTTGAACCCCCAGTTCAGAAATCCTTCAGGCTAGCCTCACAAACATTGATGCTTCAAATGTTGCTTTGAAGCACCTTCGGGCTCCTCGTAGCCCCATAGGTCTACAGTTGCAAGAGAGACCTGCGAGCAAAGCTGTAGGTGTTGTCGAAAGGTTTCGTACGCATGTATGTCGGCCATTTCGTTCTACTGCTCTTGTGCTCATGGCCATGATGAAGGATGCTTTTCCACATTCTTTTGGTAATGCTACCATGCCACAGAGGTTCAATGCCCTTCATAACTTTCTTTGTTGCACTCACATCGAACAGCACTTGGTACAATACAACCAAGATCTGGTTGGCTTTTTCACTTCTATTCCGGTCGACAGTGTTGAAGCTGCACTACGTTGGATGCTTGACAAATACAGGGAGAATCACAATGATGATGACAACATGATCTTCACTGTCTTATCCAAAGAGAAAGACGTGCTGTTACGTATTTTTCGTGGTTCCGAACGTGCACTTCGTGGACGAGCCTTTCACATTCGAATGGGTGACCTTCTTGAGCTCTACAGACCTCGATGTTCACGCAGATGCAGCAAGTTTTTCAGCAGGTTCGGGTTAGCGCTATTGGAATCAAATCTTACCTTTACTAGCTGATATTGCGGGCAGCTATGTTGAACAACAATGGTGGGTCCGCAACGAACAGCTCAGATCAAGCATGTGTCTGTGTGTATGCATGCTTGTATGCATGTGAATTTTTGAAAAAAGGACCACAAGAAAAGGTACGAACCCCGCGATCGAGATCCCCTCTAAAAGTTCTGCTTCTGCAATGACTGAGCGCTCGAACTCGATGCCAAATCTCTCACTCCAACTGGAGATCTGCCCAAGGCAGCACTGAACGGAGTTGAACGGAGCTCCAGGAATTGAAGGACAGCAGTGATACAACAGTCCCCAGCATGCAAAGCAGGCAAAGGTTCGAGCCGATACAACCCCAAACGCATAAATACCTCCCCAAATTTACCGATCTCAAGAAAACTCGCCGCCTGCTTGTAAAGGTTCTCGGAGCCGGTTGCAACAGGCTCATGGATCAGCAACTTGACCTCACGTTTTCGTGGTGACTACCTTCTTTTGGCGGTAGCATTGGTGCTGGTGCTGCTACTGGTGGTGGCGGTGGCGGTGATGGTGCTGCTGCTGTTTTGACACGACGATGACGGCAACGGCTTCAAGTTTTCGCAGCTCGACGTTCTGGCCCCAATGAGACAAGATCCTAAGGTAAAGGGTGTATATATATATATACACACACACACATATACATACACGTACGCAAACACACCACATCAGTGCTCGCCGTGCACACTCAGTCACAAGTCCGACTCAGCTCATGAAGCAACGGACATGACAATCTTTCAAGCCTACAGGGGCAAGAAGCCATGATACCCGTCTGGTTTGAATCTCGAGCCAGGCTTCAGAGCCGCCGCCCTTTAGGTTTGGATTGTCACCACCCTAGGCCAAGAATTCCATCTGTGGAGACACGCACCCTAAAGCCTAACCCCTATACATCCTAGACCTGCATCAGCGCGGCGGTAGAGCGTTGCTGTTACACATCTACAGATAGGTAGTAGCGGCATGGAGAAAAGGTGTGCAGACTCACGTGCACCCCGAACCTCAAACCCCAAGCCGTGATATGCACCTATAGAAATCATTCTCCGGCCTGGCCGGTGCAAAGGCCAAAGAACTTGTGCTTGGCCTGCACTCGCAGGTCTCAACATGTTCTCCGAATAGTGACGCAGTAGTTTCGGGTGCTTCTGGCAGATACGGCGGGGTTCGGGTTGAGCACAAAGAGTAATTCATAATGACATGCAGCCGGCTACGAGGACCTGATTCCAGCCCTAGATACTCAACCGATTCCAAATGTTTGATGCATTCACAGCAATCGCTTTCGAGGCACGCTTTCGCTGCAAGCAGTAAGATCGTTCCTTCAGCTGCAATCAAAGCGACTTAGGTTTTCATCCATGACCCAAAACCATTGACTCACCTTCAGCGCTTCTCCACACTCTGCTTGTATCAGCTCGTCGAACTCTGCATGACAGTGACTGTGGACTCAAGGCTTGCCAAACCCAAAAGACTAAACTTCAGAACCGGAGCTTCCAAAGAACCATCGAACAACGCCAACATGTAACGCCGCTGAAGAGCCTGAACTTCAACATCCACCATTCAGGGGTCAAGCATACGGAAGCCCCTGGCCTTCAGCAATCGAGCGGGCTTGCTCCCAATCCCTCTCGAACATCGGCTGGTGATTGGGACTGTGGCTTAGCCAGACTCCGGCTGTCCCAACAGAAAAAGGTTCAGTGTTGGACAAGGCTCGGGGCATGGAGGTATTTGATATAGGTTTCAACATGATACTTCATCAGGTCATATTAATATAGTAGCATAAACATCCCATGTAGCGGCAGTGCAGTGTGAGACTTGTTACATGTTTTTTGCGTGTGCGTGTGTGCATACAGGTGTGATCTTGGCGTCAGTAAGCGACAGAAAAAAGATTGCCGCTGTAAGGCACTAAACATTACAACGCATACAAAGATAAGGAAATGCCACTAGCCATGTCATAGAGCGGCATGATAGCATGTTGTAACACGCGTAATGCAGGCGAACATACCATGGCTGTGCTATTCATAATTGGTACCGCTGGGTGTCACTCCGCAATAAAGCCTCCGTGAACCTGCACTTCAATTAAATTGCTATGTCGAGGTAGAGCTCAGAAACGACACCCAAACATAGCCAAAGTGGAAGCTGGTGTAACAGTGGAGCGTGCCAGCTATGCAAAAGTGAGCCGTGCACATCGCTGTGACACTTGACGGCATTGACATGTTGTACATACTCTGCTTTTTGCAGTAATACTGTTTGACCATTTGCAATTGTGTGAAGGTTTGTTATTGATGATGTCGTATATGTGCTCACCTCACCGAGCGTATTGAAGTAGTTGTGGTTTGCCTTGTCAAACTGACTGACATTGGTACGCGATACCCAGAACACTTCCTGCAGGCAAACTCGGTCCGACTGTTTTCTCGCCGGAGATGCGCGACGAGTTTTCTGTGCAAGGGGAATGGCTCGAATCCTGTAGGTCGTACACAGGACACTAGCTTTAGCTAGTACAGCAATAGTTTATTATGCCACACACTGTTGAGCCAAAGTTGCATTACATGCGGACTGAGGCGTGGTCAGGGCGGAAGAGTATCTCCCGCCACACCACAAACATCTCCCTGTAGAAGCCCGGAAAACTGGTAACTCGCAGAAGCTCGCCCTGCAGCCCTTTCAGCAGGAGGCTCCACAGCATCTTGGTCCATCTCAAAGTGCGCTCCGAACGGTCTTGTAGTCGAACTCCCCTTCAGTGAGAATGCTGACTGCCAGTCAACACTTTGATCGCTATTAGCGCGATCACCTGGAGGTACGCCGTACCGCATCC